CGAACAGTAAAAATTTACAATCCCTTACGAAAAAAATTACAGTTCCCTTTAATATACATTGAGCTAGCAGGCGTTTACAATTCTCTCACTCACAAAAATGTTTTCTTTGGTTTCATATATGTTATGTGTTTCAAATAACAATATTAAACAAACAAAAATTTCAATTCGCTTTCGGCGCATAAATCTCGGTTGAATCGCACACGTATTGTTCTATTATTCTTTTCTTTCTTTTATATTCTTTCTTTTCTTCTCATTTTATATATATATATATATATATACTATATATACTTAATGACTAATAAATCTCTAACTTCATAATTCTATTTCACAATATATATATATATATATAATTTTATATATATATTTACTAACAAATATAATATGGCATTACAAAAATGTACATACGCTTGTAACCACGTGATCTTTAAGAATCGAATACGCTAATAATACTATCGGTGTCATGCAATATTTTAATGTCGTTCTTTTTTTTTCAGGAGATAAGGACACTCCCTTTTTAATATCCTATATTTTATGTTATATCTTTTTCAGCGATCGACGCCGTTGGCTGTATCTACCACACCATCACGAAAATGTTTTTCTATTAATTTCTTTTTGTTCTATTCGCCTGGAACGCAATTGCATATAGAATATATTCAGCATTGGCAGTACAGAAAGAAGTGTGCGCCAGATACTTAAAGACATGCAACAAATTACAGAATTTGAGTTCTGTATTCTTTCTCTTGTTTTTTCTTATAATAATATGCATACAAACATGCACACACTCACGCACGCATACATACACTTATTTTTTTCTTTTTTTTTTTAAATCTTTATCTCTGTATACACGAAATTGTGCACATTTACCAAATATGATTAATATTTCGATCGAATATGTGTTGTTCTACGTAGTAGAATTGATAATCAACAGCTAACAAGATAAACCAGTATCCTCTGTTAGTTGTAAATTTAATATGAACGAATATTGTAATTTATAATAGATTTGCTTCGATTGCAACGCCCTGTTCGATTATCATAAACATGTATGATGGTTTTATTTTATTAGCGTATGGTTTTTCAATTTTTTTTGTTGAATCCGATTCATAATACTAATAATTTATACTGAAATATATTTTATATCACATTTTCTGTTTGTTTATCGTCGGCCTTCAGAACGATCCAGTCTTCGATTTCTTCATCTTGTTCGAAACAATTGGTGCTCAACTTATTCCCATTTTTCTGGCATTGAATGTATTTTTTATTGAAATTTTTAAATTGTAGATTTGTATAAGATTTTTCTTTACGTTTGAGTATCCGACTTGAATAGGCACGTCTAGGTACAGCACATGAAGTATCAAAGCTATAGTCTGAACAATATTAATTGGTTTCTTAAGCTCTTTTTTTTTTGAGATTATTAAGAATGAAAGAAATTGTTATATACTTTTAACTATATTTAATAATATAAACTTGCATCAATAACTTTCTTTGTATAAGTTTTTATATGCTTTAAATTTTTACTTCACTTCGTTTTATTTTATAAAATAATTCCTTCAAATTATTTTTTTTTTGTAGTTTTACTACATGTTTTAAATATTTAAAAATTATGATCATATTTAAAATTATGATCATTAGAATATTTTAAGTTATGTTTCTTAAATTGTATGCAATTGATAGCATGATGAGAGTTTATCTATTTGTAACTTTGTATAGCCAATTTATTTTGCTCAGGCTATAGTAACTACTTCTCTTCTCCATGATGTTTCTAATGATTCTCAAAGACAAACTTTAACTTTTTCAACTTTCATATTGATTTTTTTAGTCAGATATTATTTCTTTTTTTAATGAAGTCTTCAATATTTATGATTTCCTCCTCTCTAACTTAAGCAAATATTTTTTAGACGAGTATTTTCTCATATAATAATTATTAAAATCTCTTCTTTTAGCAAATCAATATGCTTCTCTGGAATTGTTTCAAGTTATAAATTGAGGAATTATTTCAAATTTTGTATAATTTCTAAAACAGAATTAAAAACAATAAATATTCATGAGTCAAAATATTACAATGAAATTAAATAATATAAAGAGTTTGTATCAACAAAAGCATGATGGAGAAGGTTTACACTCTAAGCATGTTTCCATATTTGATTGAAGCACAACATTATTTGTTTATAACAAATTGCATATATATCTGTATTTCATTTATGTATAGAAACATGTTTAAAGTATTTAACTTTTTCCGTTATCACGTGCAACATATCATAAAAATTCATTATACATTATCTTCACTTCAAACGATAAAGACTTCACGTAAAATTTAAAGCCTAAAATTAATATTGATAGAGAGAAAAGTACCAAGAGAAGGAACCCACGATTTTTTAAAAATTATGGAACTGAATGCTTCATCCTTTGTGTTCAATCTTTCGGTTTCCTCGTCCAAGATTTCCTGCCGAGACTAGCGATGCTCACGGAGCTGGCAGTACTGGAGACACTTGCCAACGAGTTCAGGCTTACCGAATGTTAATCTTGCAACATGTGCACGAAACTAATCGGGAACATTCCTCTTCTTTCAGGCGCTCGTTCAAGAGCGCCTTCCATCCAGTTGTCATCATCGGTTTGTTCATTTGTTACGATGATCACCTCTCCTTCCCGGAACGACAGCTCATCCTCGTTATCCGCTTCGCAATCATATAATGCTCGACAACGTCGTAATCCGCTTAAGGTCGATGAAGTTGGCTAAAAGGAGATCGAAGAAAATAATGGTTAGTCGTAAAATGGTTAACTACATGGATAAATGACACATCGAATGTCCATTTTCGTATGTATTTTTTCTTTTTTTTTTTAGTTTTTTTTTTTACAAATGAAGCAAGCACTCTTTAACGAACTCACGACAGCATTGATCGTGTATCGAATTAGGAGCAATATGAAGAATTCCTTGGATCGCAAGGATGGTTAAATTGGAAATTCTAGAAATGGAAAAAAAAGAAGGAGGACAGCTTTTTTCAAGATTTTATGCAGATCGTGCACGATTAAATATTTTCTTTCTTTTTTTTTGTCACTATTATATATTTGGTTCTTTTTTATTTTTATTATTTTTTTTTTTCTATATTTTCTTATTTGTCATAATATCAGATATCATGCATGGAAGGAACTATAGTTTTAAAATCTGTAATGAAACACTAACACATTGCGTACAGTATTTTTTAATTGTTTGATTCTGTAAAACGATTATTATTTTTGCAGATAAAGATAAAAATTAAAGTTTTGTTTGTATAGATATTCAATAATTTAAAAATATATAATATTCAAATATAATCATTGTAATTTAACAAAAGTTAGAAGTATACATTACATAATTTTAATATGAAAAATACATTTTTCTTTCTGAAACTTTTTTTAAGAAAATAACCAAATATCTATACAAATTCATATAAATATTTAAATAATATTATTAAATATTAATTTTTTATATGATTATTGTGCCAGTATCTGCATATATTATTATAATATTAATTAAGATACCACAACAACAATTTTTATAAATATTATATATACAATGTTAATATGATATCAAAATACATTGTTTTGTGAAAATAAAATATTAATTGATGACCTATAATTAATGTTTCTATTTTTCTTGTTTTCTTTTCTTCTTTTCATTTTAATAAATATTTATGAATGTGTTTGCAAATATTCATATAATAATAATTTCTTTATTGATATGTTTAAATATAGAATTTGAACTAAAAAATTTTTGTTAATATGATTTATGATATGAGAATGATTTCATAAAATCGATTTCATTAAATCGATATTAAATACTATTTGTTCAGAAATAGAGGAATAATGAGATTTAAATGATAATGTGATGTGAACTATAAATAATATGATAAAGCTGATCTTTTACAATCTACTTTTTACTAATAAACAATTCTTTTTACTCTCCGTTTTACATTTTGACATGCATTTGTTTTGAAATATTTTTCTTGCGACATATTTAAGCTGCATCCTATTTAACTGAAACTATTTTATAAATTTCAACAGGCATTTAGCAAATATATTTTACAATTCTTTTGCAAAAATTTTTGTTGAAAAATATTATATAAGCTGCATTATATTCAAATTAAGTTATCTGAAATTTAGCAAGCAATTAGCACTTAATAATAATAATAAAAAAACACAAAGCGAAATACTTCATAGCCGTACGCAATATGTTGTGATATGTTTGTTTATAAATTTAAAAAGGGATTTTGTTTAAAAAGAATTACAAAATTATACATAATGTAAATATTATGTAAGAATTATTATATATATAATTATATAATAAATAATATATATTATATAGAATATTCATATTTGTGAAATACTTTTGGAGATTTAATTTTAGAGATCAAAGTTTAAAATAAGAAAAAATTGAAACTTATTTTTTAAGTTTGCATTAAACTAACTAAAACGGAAATAGGATACAGTAACAAAGACAGAACAATTTTACTTAATTTACAATAAGCCTTAACAAATATTTTTGTATATGAACTTTTATATTTATTTTTTAGAAAAATCGACTCTCCAAAAATATTTCATGAATACATTAACATCCTATATCATTTTACATTTCAATAAATACATAGTTATAAATATTAATTTCAAAATATCTATATCATATCTATATAAAATCTTATTACTATGTAGTAATCTACATTATACTTCATTTCTCCATGATTCATGATATTAACCATTAATCTTGCTTCTAATTTAATTCATTTAGAAAACTTATGAGGTAATATTGTATCAGAATAATTTCAGTGCCATTATCAAACATAAATTTTGGACAAGCTCATGCGAAAATTAGATTCCAAAGCACATAGATACATTCCTAGCATGATATATTCTAATTAACGAAAATCTTACATTCATAGTTAGCATTGGGAAAGCATGAACATTTGCCAACAGAATCACATTAACGATCCAGCGTTAGATTTGTTCTAATTAGATGTTTCACTGCCAGATAGGTTAGAATTGTAAATATAATTCAAAAAAAAATTCACGAAATAAAATACTTTTGCGTAGAAATTGAACAAAATTGTTAAACACAATTATGATCACGATAAAAATTTTAATAAGTTAATTTAAACTTAAAAGATGTTATATTTGTATAAATTATACCTAAAGCACTGACGATGATTACGGATAGTACGACTGATCATGCAATGTTACTACACTTGAAAGAGATATTCAATGACACTTCTGTGTTAGTAATTTTAACTATTTTAATCAAATTCATTGCGTAAATCTGCCTGATAATAAATTACTTTAATGAAAGATGCATTAGAACAAAAATTTAACAATCAATTCGAGAAGCTGTAATATATACATTCTTATATTAAAATTTAAATATATAAATAAGGAACAAAACTTAAAATAATATATATATAGAAAATATCTAAAAGAAATAAAGTTGTGAAGAATATGCAAAGAAATAAATAATAATAATAGCAAATAGTATATTCAAGAATGCTTATTTTCAGCTTTTGATTTATGATTATGCAAATGATCAGATTGAAAATATAAGATTTTTTTATTGGAATAATTATATAGAAATAAGAAGAGATATTTCAAGTGTAGCAAGCTGTAATGTGGGATGGCTGATGTTTACCAGATTCAGATTTGGGAGCAAAGATGAAGGCTCCTCTGCGTAGCTCTCTAGTCTGGCCCGGTCCCTTCGCTGTACCAACAATGGTTAATAACAAACCATAAAGCACTGTCTTTGAGATACATGCAGTGTCTAATTACCAATTCAAAAATTATCAATTCAAAAAAAAAGAGATTATATGTTTTGAATTTTTTTCTTTTTATTTTCTAAAAATTTTGATAAAAAAGATTTAATATTTAACACTAATGCTAAATAAAGAATTAGTGATTCTTTTTATAAGAATATTATATGATAGAAATTTTAAGTAATTCTTTAAGTAAATTTTTTGACTTGTTAAAATTATTATATTATTATTTACATTTTGCTCCAGTTATTTTTTGAATGAATGAATATGAATTTGAAAATCATGATTTATGATTATGAAAATGATTATGCAACATAGAAAAAAATATGAATTATGTTGTTGCAAAGGTTTACCATTAACAAAATTTAATAAAAATGTGAACAATGGATATACATATATTATATATTTAAATAATAGGTGAACACATGTGATTAGTATGATATGCAAAATACCAAAAGATTTTGAAAATAAGAATCGAGGAAAAGTTATTCATTATCTTCTACATGGGAACAATGATAGGAATAATATTGTGTTAATAATATTTTTATAGTTAGTACATTAAAATTAATGATTGTTACATATGAACGGATCTTTATATGTACATACGTATGGTGATGAAAGGTTATGTTAAATATCTATCGGTATCGATGTCTGATAATGCGCCAAATAAAATACAAAATAAAATAAAATATCATTCGCCTTAGCGTGAAATAATTGAATGAACACGCAATACATAGTTAAAAATAATAAAAAAAAAAAAAAATTATAAGTTATTCCTCGATTTCTTTGATTCAGTATTTTATATTTTGTTTTCGTTAAAAAAAAAGATTATTCTATTTCCGTATATAAATATTCATACAATTAAATAAAAATAAGAGAACTTACCTTACGTGGAGGTGGAATAGGATTACCCAAACCATGATCCGAACACATAGAACTTAACGACTCGCTGCTACGTCCATTACTCAATCTTGAGGAATTGATACTAGATGGAGCTGGGGGAGGAGGATTCCTTGGTCTTTGAAGCGTTGAACTATTTACTTTGTCCGTACCTAATAACAGACAAAACCAAATAAATTTCGAAAACAAAAAGAATCGGAAGATTCTAAATTTACCCGAACTAAGTGACAATTCGTAGAAGAGTTTGCGTGAATTTTTAAACGCACCGTGTCCCGTTGAAGAATCTCCACTGGGCGATCTTTTATGATGTTGACTGTTTAATGTATTTAACGCATGTGGTAGAGTATGTAAAGAATGCCCAGCTAAGATAGGTTCGCTCGTTGTACGGCTATGCGTTGACGCTGCTAAGGACGCGGACGAAGGTAGTGTACCATAATGAGAGGAAGGTATACCACCTGTACTTCCAGCCGGTGGTGGTGGGGGTGCTACACGCTTCTTCAATGATCCGTGAATATTGACCGAAATATCTGGCGCCATGGGTGTAGGTACTGAAAATAACAAAAGGATTTTAATATATAATTTACAAATAAAAATGTGAACTCTTATAGTAATAAGATATACCAGCAACAGGTTTTCTTGATTGAGGTGGCGGTGGTGGAGGCATTTGTTGTCTATTCGTTGAAGAACTTGGAGAAGAACCACTTTGTAAACTGTCACATGTACTACTTCGACTACGTAAAGTCACTGGCGAATCTCCTGATCCAGCACCACCACTACTACCACCACCACCCACATAAGAAGGTGGCCTACTACGAGATTTCTTCTCAGGTGTTAAACAACCATTCTAATAAAATATATATTAATTGAAACAACTGATTTTAATAATTTTATTTTATTATTCTTATTACTTAAACATACCCTATCTTCTATTATTGTTTCGTCATCAGAAAAATCGGTAGATCCTTCATCATGCGAGAGATTCCAGTCGATATTAACATTGTCAAACAATGTCTTTTGTCTTTGTAGAGCATGACTCAACTAAGAACAATGAAACAGTTAATATATGTACGATATATTATTGTTATACAAATTAATCTATAACTATAATAGCATTACCAGTTCTTTACAAGTGTGGTGTCCCATTTCCTGTGCAATATCAAGTGGAGTTTTATCCTGCTTATTTCGATGTGTTGGATCAGCACCTGCTCGTAGCAAGAGCTTCATTGCTTCTGCTCTATCGTGTCTCGCGCAAAGATGTAAGGCTGTTTCCCCGTCGATAGTGCTTCTGTCTATACCACCTGTCGACATATTCTGTACTAAGAAATCTATAATATGCAAGCTGTTTCCCATCTCACGTAAGATTGCTAAATGCAATGCTGTTTCACCCAGATCCTAAAAGAAAGACAAATTATAATTTTTCAAATTATTACAATTTAATTAAAAATTCATAATAAAACGAAGCTTTATTTGTTTTATCTTATATTTTTATAATTTAATTAAAATCATACCGATGTAGGTAATGGTGCTGCTAAATCTACATTTTCTGCATAAACTTGTAAAAGTTGTTGCAAGTCACGATTATTAACTGCATGTTCTAAATCAGAAAGGAGATCTCTTTCATCTGCACAAGTGTTCATCACGTATCGTTTATCCACATATTTAGCTCTTATAAATTCGTATCTTTCTTCCCTATAAATAAAACATATTTAATCACAGATAATCTATAAAATGAATAATTTATATAAAATTTAAATTTATATAAATTTATACATCGTGGAAGTTGGTGTTGGTTTATGATTATGATGCAATGTAGCTTCCATTACTTCGTTAAACGCCTGATTAGTCATGTGTCGTGCAAGAAGTAGTTGAGCAGTGCCTACATTATCCAATGTCAAAGACTGTATTCTAGATATATGTACTCCTAAATCACGATGAATTCCACTGCATTCTATACACACGATTATGCCAAAATTTGTAGAAAGCCATGTAGCATCTATCAAACAAAAAAGAAAAAAAAAAAAAAGAAAAGAAAAAAAATCATTATTTTTTTTATATATGTTTAGATTTAGATATTTATGATATATAAAAATGATCTACATTACAAGTGTTTCTTAACATTATTATTAAAATAATATTAATAATAAAATTTAGTTGAAGTATAATTTGTACAATTTGAGATGAATAAAAAGAAATATATATTTTGTTAATGTTTTATTCTCAAAATATATTCATAGTTTTACCATTTTGCGAAGAACAGTCACAGCATTGATCGTTTCCAGGTAACCTCATGACACAACGTATAACAGCCTGTTGAAGTTCAACTAAACTTGGATTTCCTGTACCAGCTTCAGCTTTACCACTTGCGTCGAATGCTCGAAGCAAAGCACGTTCCTTACAGTTTACTAAAACGGACATCCATGCTCGTTGATCAGCTTCGTCTTCCGCTTGAAAGTGATACGTTCTATTGTCTGCAATCATAAAGATCAAATATGTTAGTGATATTTTTTTATTTTTAAATTACTTCATTAATATTTAAGCATAATTATTAGTCTTTAAAAAATAGTCTTTTAAAAATTTGTACATATATAAAATGAATAATTCCTTAGTATTATTTTTTATATCTACTATATCTATTTTTATTTTATATTAATAATATATTATTAAGCAATCTATCATGAACAACTAAATTTCGCCTTAATGTCAATAGGTTAACAATTCAACTTACAACTAATTAAATCGAAACCTCGTTTGTCATCCGGTACTAGCTTGATTTGACAAGTTAATAAATTCACTCTCGTTGGTGGCTTATTCTCATCCGCGTGACAAATGTCCAAATAACCTTCGGCTTGAACAGCACACCGTCTCTTTTGCCAAACTCTTCTCATTTTTCCCTCGCTTTTCTTCAACAAATGACCGGATCTAGTAACACCATGCTGCTTATCTCCTTGCAATTGGTGAAGCGAATATCCTGCATTCGCATTTACGTTTAACTGAAAATCGCATAACATTAAATCGTTGTAGTTCAAATTGCGAAAAGGACCATGCTATACGAGCACAATGGATAATTTACCTCTTTGTCGCAACCTGAGCTTCTAAGGAGATTTCTCAGTTCTGTTAATCGTCTTCTTTCCTCGTCTTGTGTTTGTCTGATCTTTTGTAATTTTACACTGAGATCCGCTACGTATGAACCAAAGTGTTCAATGGTTTTTAGGCCGTCTTGAAAGTAACTGTGAAATAAAAAAACGATGTAAAATATATTTCATGAAAAGAAATTTGAGGGAGAAAAATTGATATTTATTATATATATATTTGAATCAATCTCTTTCACATAAAAAGATAATATTCTTATTTATAAATAATTCATAATCAACAAATTTAATTTTCATTTTCGCTTACTTGGTTTGTGCATGATAATATTCGACTAGATGCTGCAGCAATTCAATTCCTTTTTTCGTTTTGATTTCGTTCACTTTTATAAGATACTGAAAAAGAAATAAAAGAAGATACAATTTTTTGTTAATGTTTTTAATTTGACGTTAAAACTCGAAATTTATTTAAAAAAAAATCAAAATTTAATATTCAAATTTTAATCTTCAAATAATTTAATCCGAATAATTTTTTTGCAAAATAATTAAAGAAAAGATAAAGGTAATTCTTTTTGCAAAATTTAAAAAAGAAAATCTGTGCTATAAATTACACCAATCCTCCCATAATAAGCACATATTGAGAACAGAGAGAGAATCGTTCGTTCCAGATTCGTTTCGGGGAGCCTCACCTCGCACATTTGCAATTGAAACAATCTTCTCTCTTTCTCCATCTCGTCGGCGATCTCAGCCGGCGTCACTTCCGTCCGAATGAGGCCAGCCTCTTTTGCGTGTTGCTTCTTTTCCTTCTCGATTTTCGCGTATTTAGCCTCGTAATCCTTCCACGCCTTTTCGAACGGCCTTTTCAAGTCACCTTTCACACCTCGTAGATCCCCTTTCAGCACCGAGTCCAGGGGAAACATAACGATGTTGTTAATGTTCTGCATCTATTAAAGAGAATTTTTAATTAATTGAATAATTTTTAATTAATTGCATAACTCGTTCAATTTCCACATAATAAAGGGAGGATAATAAGTAAATATTTTTAAAACGTTTATTTCTTTTTAGATACCAGAGTTTTCATCAGAGCACTCAATTCTTTTGTGACGACCGCAAATTTCAAAAAGGCAGCACCGATATCCGGTTCCTGTTCTTTCAAGGCGGCATCTCCAAGCCTTTCCAACGCCCTTCCGAGATAAACCTCGTTATCGACGTGAGCTGTAACGCGAAAATATAAGAATTAATTAAAAAAAATTGCTTTATCATACGATATTTTTAATTGTTATAATTTTAAATTATTTCTATATTATTAAAAATCTGAATTTTTATTACCCAATTAAAAATTATTACTTAATTATACTGGAATATTTAAATTTAATATTTTTTAACTCCATAATTTTTTTAAAAAATCTAATTATGATTTAGTAATTGCTATTTTCTACTTAAACAAACGTTAATTATACAACATTTTTCTCAATTATTTTTTTCACCAAAGTTTTTAAAATAACTATTATTTGATCTTTAATGATACATTTTTTATACTTCTCTAATATACATATTTTGCGTATTTCATAATATATTTATATTATAATTAAAATACAAATATAACGATAAATTTTCCACCTTAATTGTACATCTGCTTTAACTTGAGAAATATAATATCATTAAAAAAATGAAAAAACGAGAAAGAAACGAACTTTAATGCGAATTTGTCACGAAAGATCGCCTGTCAAAGATCAATTCACTCGATCTCGTTATTATGTTAATACACGATTCTAATCTGTAAATATCCAAATTTTGTAATTCGTATACACTTTTTTCTTGAAACGTTCATTTGCATAATTATTGAGATCACGAAAATTTCGTAATTGAACAATTAATTGAAGATGGATTAATTAACGAAACTTGTATAATAATCTGTGAAAATAATTATTTCATTCGAATTAATTCATTAAAGTTGCTAACTAATTGTAAATCCAACTATATAACTAATATAGAAAGTAAAGAAAAATTGTATCCTTGAAACTATAACTATATTTAGAAACGTCAAATATAGGGCACGTGATCGATTACACCGACGAAAAAGAGACAGAATATATTTTAATATTTTTCTAGTCATTTTCAAATCCGTAAATTATTATAAAAAGAGAATGTATTATTTAAATAAATATTAATTAATGCATATATATATAATATTTAAGCACACAATTTTTAAATTAGAAATTGAATTAAAAATTTACTTCTTCCGTTAGATCCAGAGTTAATATAATATTATAAACTATATATATTTCAAAATGTAATTTAATAAAATATTTTTCATATATTTCAAATATATTTTTCTATCTATTACAGAAAAATTCGAGCTTTTATTATTTTATCTTTGAAACAATTTGATTTCATTACAGATCGTTATATAAACAAATTAACAAATTTTCATTCTATGTTATTTGAAAGGTAAAAAGAAAAAAAAAATAAATAATAATAATGACAAATAAATGATCTTATTTAACTTACCGTTTCCAGAATTGTGAATGGCTTTGATCGCTTTCTTCAGCTTCGTCAATCCATCTCTGTCGAAGTCCAGCGTCTGTAACAAATATTACGTAAAAATTAGGTAAGTTCTGCAATTTCTACTCGTTCTTATTCTAGATTATATGCGATAGAGATCACACACAGTCAAGTGAAAGGAGATATACATATATACGCTTCTGCTTTATAATCCTCGAATAGCGGAAACAGGATTACGATTCATACTTCATTGTGCTGATGTGCATTAAAAGTCAATTAAGACTGACACCGTCCATCTTGAATCTTTCAAGCTGCTTAAACGAGGATTATTTAATTCATAGAAAATGTAATACGATCGCAGGATTAATTTGAATTTAAATCTTGGATTAATTGTATGTTTGTTATTATTCAATGATGCGTTATATCTTACAAGATTATTCAAAATAATTATCATTTCTTAAAATTAGATTTATATAAAAATTATTCGTTATGATGATTTTAATTCCTATAATAAAAAATAAGAGAAACCATAGATAGTCGGATAAACATATTTCAAGACAATTTATTATAATATTTAATTAGATTTAGTTTGGCTAAAATATTTGTTTTTAAAATTCATTTTTAAAATATTATATTCTAGTTAATAGATTCCAATTATCTTTAACTGTTTTTAACTAGCTTTTAAAACTAAAACTCATTTCCATATTTTTGAATTTTTTATTATTTAGTCTTTTCTAAAAATAAGACTTTTATATTATGCTACTTTAGTATTACATAAAAAAAAAAACACCGTTTTTTTAAACTACAATCATCCATCATATCAAATTATCTACTATCTTATCATTATTGACTTCTATTTAGATTGATTTCTCTTTTCGAAACAATTTTAATATTTCTCGTAATATACAATATCACTTTATTTTCGATCAAAGCAAGTACAGTTTCTCGAAAATTTCTTCATTTTTATTGTACGAAATATCCAATTTTCTCGCGATTTCTCTTAATGAAAATATCTTCTACGTACACCTTAATAATGGCATATCCAAGTCTCTTGTGTTAATTCTTTCCATTGTACTACTTTGAATTATCTTTCCACGAACTATAGTTGCTCTCCTATAGTTAGTCTCCAAAATTTTATCGACACTAATACTATAAATTCAATTCATTATATAATACCGGTTGAGGATTATTTCTAAAATATAAATTATAAAGAATTTGCGTTAAATGAAGCGAGAAGAGATAGTTCTATTTCTCACACTATTAGCTCACTCTATCTCTAATATTTGTTAATAAATAAGCCTTAAAGAAATTAATATGAAATTCTTTAAAAATGTTTTACGAATACGTTAACATCATAACATATTTTAAAGATAAAGAAAATGAATATTGAATTGATGATACGTAATTAAGAAACAAAAGTTTGCTTGGACAATATTTAATTACAATTTTTTTTTGAAAAAAAAAAAAAAA